GCAGTGTAGAGTGGCGGCAGTGCTGGCAGCCCTCGAGGCTGAACTGCGCCTGAGGGACGTCGGCATGGACCGCGCTGAGCTCCGGGGCACCGCAGACTTGCACCGCGGTCAGACTCAGACACAGCCGCGCACTCTGAGCGCAGTAGCCGCAGTGTTGGGATGAGATCACAGACCGGGGCAGCGTGGCCCGGCCGGGGTCGAGAGATGCCCCCCGCCCCGCCCCGCCCCCGGGGACATTGCTCTTCCATGTCAGACTGGGGTTTGAGAGCCAGACGTTAGCCGAACGCCGGCTCCTTTCACGTGTACCCCTTCTATCTGAGAAGAGTCTCCTTGACGCTCTTTTTCGTGGGCTGACAATAGTGTTAGCTCCAAAGATCAAGAGATTCATCAACTGCAACGCTCGGCCCTGCCCTCCCCTGCATCTGCCTCCCACAAATCCATGATAACCTGGGGTCTTATATCTTGTCTGATCTTTCCCAGTAGGCGAAATCTCTGGCTGAATACTCTATCTTTGATCACACAACACACACATGTTTTGCAACCCTACAGGAATGAAATGCAGGAAAGATATAAAAATCACGTATTTGTTCAACATGTACCATTTTTATTATGTGCTTATGGCAAACAACTTACACATTCATGATGGATTATGTGTAAAATTTCTTTGTTTTTTCTTTTTTTTTCTTCAAATTCTACCAAAAATTGATGATGAGCCAAGACAACTGCACACTTAGATCTTCCCACCCAGAACAGAAACTAGAGGCTTTCTGCCACATCATCCAACCGGAAGCTGTATTGGTTATTGTCTTACATAGTTTGAACAACGCTCCAGTCGCTCCATCGGTAGATTGTGGTAGGCAGTATGTGTGTAGTTATTATTATTACAGATCACGAGCAATGCATCTACACATTACAGTTAACAAATTAAATGCTCACGTTCATTCATAAACAAAGGACAAACTGCACTGTCATATCGTTAATTGTTCTACAGGCTAATTCTAACCAAAATTCCTGCAGATCGGATGGTTTCAGTAACTATGTTTGTGGTTGACAATGCGTCTCATGTTTTTTTTCTTTTTACATTTCACTCATTCATAGCCAATACAAGGAGGTGGAAATTTCTGATGTGAGTAAGTTCAAACAAAAGAACAAACAAAAAAATATAATAATTTATAAGTTCTTATTTAAAATATGTACAATATCATCATTAGAATGATAGAACAACTTTCCAATCACCGCCTCCAGCATTGACTGGAGTGACTTGGAGTGGCCTGGGCCTTGCCCCGCCCCGAGCTTAGAGCCCGGCTCAACTTACAGCTTACAACCAGCCGCTTGGTTGCAGCTTGCTCGGCAGTGACGAGAGAGCCAAACGGCTTGCTGGTCCAACGCGATGGGCAGCTGCCATGACTGACCGTTCCTACCGCACCTCCCCCCCACCCCCGGCCCTCAATTACCACCCTCATTATTTATCAATATTACATCGCTGGAGTTTGGATCTAGTAAATTTTTCAAGTCTCTCATGTAACAAGCTTCAACAGTGAAATTTGTGTACTGACTTACAATAACAACATGGTTATACTAACCTAAAAATATACCTACAACCTATCTATCCAGTTTCCCCAAGATACTTCAAGCATGGTGTATCCTAGATTGATGGATCCCATCATATCAGAATTTCAAAGTCTATTCTAAAGTAAAAATTAGAACATTGGTAATAGGCAGTAAAAGTAATAGGATTGAAGGGGGGAGGTTTTACAAATGTGTTTTTAAAAATCAATACAAAAAACATTGCTTTTGCAAATATCAGCAAGGTAATTTACATGTAACAAGAAGAAGTGTTCCACATTCACGAATTAATTAAACTGACATGATACACTGGTGGATGGAGGCACGGTGGCAGGAAGGGCCATGCTTCCCCAGCTGCCCCAGAGCACAATTCCTTTTATCAAACCTTATAAACCACACTTCATTCAAACATTGCAACAAGTTCTCGTTTTTGTTTTATTATTTAACTCTATATAAACGAACAATTTAAGTTTCCTATGATCTTTCTTTAATCAATATGTAGTTACAATCAATTTCTTTATTTTTCCCCTCTGAACATAAGTCTCTTCATGTTAAAAAGAAATATTATTTCTTACATACTTCACAACTAATTTAGTTCTCCGACACAGCTGTCAGATCATCTGACTTGATGAGAATTTTATTTCTTCTACATAACTCGAGCAGGCAACTTTCCTCCTAACAAATTTAAAGCCTGCACTAAAACTGAAAAATAACTAAAAGAAGATAATATCAACAAAAATATTACTAAAAAATGTGGAGATTTTACAGCAGCATCATATACAACTTTGCACTCAATAATAAACTAAATGGTAAATACTCTTCATAAAAAAAGGATCAAGAATGAGAATCAGATGTGGCAATAATGTGATGAGGTATTCATTGGTGTCCATATTCCATGCTGTAAACCCCCACGCTGCCCAACCACCTCCTACTGACATGGTCCTTTCAGTCGCACCACCTACATCCACACTTTTTACCTTTACTGTACCTCATTCTTAGTCGTCCCTAGTGGCTGCCTACTAAAACGTGGCTCCAGCGAAGCAAATTGGTTTCTTAAAATATTTTTCGGTCTTCACTTTGAGGAAAGAATTTCCTTAGCTCCTCGGAACAATTCCGAGGCTGCCGCTGAACACTGTACGCGGTCACTACTGAGCAACACGCAGCAAGCACAATGACATGTGCTTAGTAATATGTCTCCTGCTCAAGCCAGCCGCCAGGGTATCTGCGAAGGTAGAAGCGTCGGACCTCGTCATAGACGAAGATGGAGAGCGTGAAGGGCAGGGCTGGGAGCCACCATACAAACCTATGAATAAAAAAACACAAATGTAATTATTGCTGAACGAGAAATAAAAAATTACTAAAAATCCAAACAATTTAAAAATGTGTTTCATACTTGAGCGGGTACATCCTGAGACCCTTGTCCATGCCAGGGGTATATGAAAGGAAGGCAGCAAGAGCAGTCTCAAATACTAGACCAAAGTTAAGTGCCCAGTTTCTGTAACATGACAAGGACAATATTTTCAATTCCACAGTACAGTGAGCACCATTTAATCAATGATAGGAGGAAAAAAAATCTTACCTCATTCCTTGGTGAACAAGAGAATTACGCCTTGTTTTGCACACAATCAAATCAGCCCACTGGACAATGACAATTGACACAAAGAAGGCAGTGTGGCAAGTAAATTCAAGAGCTTTTCTGTCCCTGTAAGTCTGCATGTGCAAAATACGTACTTTAAATACAGAACAACAAAATGAAAAATCAAGGGACAGCAAGATATCTGATTGGTAATCTAACTTACCCATTCCTGTCCATAGGAATCAGGCAGGTCATTGATAGCTTTGGAGTCCCAATGTTTACGGATTCCAAACAACTTGATGGGCAGGAAACCATTCTCTGCCATGATGACAAAGTAGACAAAGAATCCAGCTGCAGCTTGGATCATACCAATTTGACCATACGCCATTGAGATAAGCCTGAGAAATTGAAGAAAATATATTTATTAAGGTGATAATTAGAAAATATTGCTCTGCACATAGAAAATGCTCTTATCTAGCAATGCAGTATTTCCTTGCAATAAAAAGCTTGAAGCTCTTTCTATTAATTTTAGACAGTTTCTTAAACTCTTTAGTTTGTTTTATTAGGATGAGCAATCATCTTGTTTTATTACAGGAGAAAACAAGTACTAAAGCAATCTGGAAGGTATTCATTATTTTGTCAAAGCAAGTATAGTTAACAAGCTGCTTATTGGAAATCATGAAGCACAAGGATTCACTAGGCTTAATTTTCCAAAAGCTAGTTGAGAATGGTAAAGGGTGCAAAGGAGTATGATAAGCATTCAAAGCTTTAATGAATGGTTAAGGCCAAGTTTTCACTGGTTGAAAAACACTAAATGATGTGACCCACTGGTTGAACCATCCGCAGCTTAAGTTAATATTATTACCAATACTTTATATTAATAGATACACATAAATGTTTCATTTTAACTACAATATATATTGCTTCAGCAATAAGGGGGTAAGGATATTTCTTTAACCAGAAAACTTAACCCATTTTTGAAGCTAAAGTAACTTGTTAGTTAATACCAAACCAGTTGCCCTTAATCCCTAGTGCATTCATGCCTCCATTCATTTATGTTAAGTGCCAAAGCAACACATACTCTTTCTTGGATTTAGGGATTATCTCACGGTTTACTTTAATTAAGAAGATACATGTAAAAGCCACACAGTACCACAAATTTCGCACATTTAGAAAGGAATGAAGAAGTACTTCACATCAGAGGATTTAATTACAATAAATAATAATTATGTTTTAAAATTGTTGATATTTTAAATCTACAATTTTGAAAGTTTTGGGGATGACATTTCGTTTAAGGTCATTGGTGTTTCATTTTTCTTTCTTTCTTTCCTTCTTTCTTTTTTTGTGATAGTTGTGTGGCATTCAAACGTCTTATATAAAGAGCAACTTATACCTGATCAAAACAACACACACAGTTCACACTCAGCCCTGCTCATGCATTCAATGTGAAGCTCACTTGATATTAAAACACACCAGGTCTTACATACCAACAAAACTTACTTTCTGTTGTTTTGTTTTTTAAAATAAAAAAGGGGAAGCAAACCAGACACACAGGCATGTACACAAACACATTCACCTCTCCCTGACATGACAACATAAGCAAGATATTTGTCTTGGTTTCTCCTGCCCAAAATTTGTGTTATTTTTCATTTTACCTCAATAAGATGGAACATTGCAGACTATCATAATTTGGGATTGATTGATTGGCTGGACTGTAGTTAATAAGGTTGCAATTTTTAAAACCAAATTAAATCAATAGTGTATGAAGAATGTTACCTTGATTTGATGACTGATCTCCTGATTCTGACTAATATTACGGAGTTGGAACAATTTCTTTAACAAGTAGGAATCTACATACAGTAATAATAAGCAGGTTTACAAAATACTCTGCTCAGTAATTTAAACATTTATCAAACCAACTTTAGCTACAGTTAAATGTGCTAATTGGAGTGCATTACAATGTGAAGGAGTGTTCTCAATGTGTCAGTGGCACTGAGTAGTGCAGATAACTAAGTTGAAACATAACTGTTTAAGTTGGGGGCTACAAATTTTTTGCTCAATAAAAGAAGAAATGTAGTATTGTTACTTGGTAAGTATAATAATATCACACACCCATTCCACAGATAAAATTGATCTGTATTAATTATCTGTTCTGTTTGGATGTTATGTACAAGCTATGCTAAAACCAATGAGTGCATTTAACAGTGATGAAAGTGAGTCTTTTCAACTCAAAAGTGCTGTTGAATGGCCGACTGGTTCTTGTGGAAGTATTGACCTATGAGGCAGAAGTGCGTTAATTGTAGTTATTTCAATTTTGAAGTAAGAGTGTAGGAAATGTTTTACCATGATCAGTTTATCATTAAAGCTTGTGTGTGTCTTAAAATGTATCCAGTATGTAGTCTGTTCTAGAATGTGGCATAATGTATTAGGTAAGTAAACATAGAAAAGAGTATTTTGAAATGAATACACCTGATTTTTAACCTCAAAGATATTGTTTTAAGGGAAACTGCACTGAAATGAGAAGCATTCTGAAAAATTCTATTCCACTATATAGTTTAGAAATTAGAACATCTTAGTAACCACAGCTGACTAATTATTTTTCTAGGACTAGCTACATCAGCAGCACGAATAAATACCGTAGAAAAACACAACTTTCAGACAAAAGTAATATAAAAAAACATTAAAAAAAGTGATAACATTTAAATAGAAAATAAGTTTCACTTAATATGGCATAAACTGACTAAATTAAGCGTCAGTTTAGTGTACAATTGGATTTATTTCTGAAAGTTGTCCCTTTCAATTGAGTAACTCTAAATGTAGTTCCTATAGTATAGGTAGGCATGACAGGCTCACGGGAGCCTGACATTTCATTTCTTAGCAAAGATACAGCAAGAAGGGAGTGGAAGAAAAACAAAGAAATGGAAAAGAAGAAAAGGTCAAACAGCCAGAAAAATATGGAAGAAAACGGGTATGAGTCAGTCTTGATTTGAGTCACCTTAGTCTGGTCAGTGCAGTTAGTTTTAGTAACAAAATCAATAGTTTAAGTGGTATTGAGTTGATAGTACCATAAAAGAAACTGAAACTGAGGACAATTAAAAAATACATAAAATAACCAAGACAAGGAGGAGAACGGACGCGACATACGCGGACAGCAAGACGACATATTTAGAAAACCCACCTGTGGTTCACCAACTTGTCACTGTACGGGTCACGGGGCTGCCGTTTCATAATGTCTGACTCTGGAGCTTCATAAGCCAGAGATATAGCAGGCATCTACGGTGTAATACAGTACAATAGTTAGTTTCCAAGAGTTCTCGAACACCATGCAAAGGATCGATAGTTTTCCCTCTTATTCAAGGGTATCGACCTGGTGGGGACTCCTGACTAGTAGACCGCTAACAACGTAGCATTTGTTATTCTAGTGAGTTGAGTCTGGATAAATGGGTAGAGGTTTGAAGGAGATGATGATGAGATGAGAATGGAAAGTCGCAAAAGCCAGAAGAAAGAACAGTCAAAGTGAGAGTGTCCATACTGTGTGTGCAAAAACACATGCAAACAGAATTTTACAAAGCCACATCAATTTCAGCAAGCTAAATATCTGTGTGTGTGGTGTACATAAATAAATATAATGAAAATAAAGATGCAGTCCAACTAAATTAACATTGACAAAGAAGGAACTACTAAACCTTATTGATCACTTACCTTACTGAACTTAAATTTCTACATTTCAAAACTAACTACGCAGAAAAAGCAGAGAAATTTGGCCGCTTGAGCAAAAGAATGCCTCCGATTATGTGGCCCGTGCGATGGCCTGAAGGCATGCTTTTACTCGAAACGTTGTGATTCATCACACTTATTTTAAACAGAGAGAGAGGAGAGAGACAGACAGACTTATCCAACAATTACCACAAATATCAGTAATGTTAACTCTTAAATTGTCTCATGATTTACCTTTCGTTTACGAGTTTATCTGTGAAAGGATTTCGAGGCTGTCGCTTCATGATATCTGACTCGGCTTCTTCATAGGCCAAGGAAATGGCAGGGACCTAATAGCAAGGCAACACCATGGTGAAAACAAAACAAATCAATACAAACTAAGGACCAGCAACTAATTTAACGAACACAAGAGTACAACACAGTAAGCATTCCGACGCCTCTGCAGGGTTTCCTACAAGGCAGGTGGGAACTTTGTGCTGCGGCTGAGATAAAGTAAACATGCGCAGCTCTTAAAACCTCCTTAATAAAAAAAATAATAAAAAAAGAAAGTGCTCCACCTTTGAACAGCCACAGCCTTAACATGTAAATGTTAAGACACCCTACAATGCAAATTAAGTTAACATGCCCATCCATTTGAGCCGAAAACAATCATTGGAAGACCCCACTTACAAACTTTGTCTCTTATTTTTAAACTTTTGAGGGAAATATTCAAACAGTAATCCACTAATAACATATTGTAAATTAAAAATTTCACATCATGCTGTAATCATTGTAAGGAAAGGTCCAAACACCAATGATTAAAAGCTTGAATAATGCTTCCTCTCATTTCAATTTTTTTGGACTCTAAAATTTCTAACAAATTCTATACTTTGAAGTCTCTGGACTCCAAAACAAGACCAAGCAAGGGCTTCAAGGCAAGTCTATTTTTGCACTACGCTCCAGCAATACACACCAACATAAGCAGTTAGCGTTCAAACTTAACATAGCCTGGCACTAAATTCTAAACAACTAAACAAAAAAATATGTCTTGACAATAAAAATGAATGTGCTAATCATTTTCAAGGATAATTTTTCTGATAAATGAGTATGGGTGGAATGGTTTGGGTTGGGAGAGGGGCAACGGGGAAGGTTTCACATTTTTCTACACATTTCATAATGCCATCAATATTAATCGGTCAGACTTCAGAAACCTCACATTTTTATGAAGCCATCATGCATCTATGGTGAAATGGTGGAGGGGGAAAGGTCGTATCTATAAGAAGACAGATTTTGTTCCAATTCACAAATACAACACAGCAAAATACCAGAACACACCAGAATCCCAAACTGCAAAAAAGTCATACAGATTTACACCACATATCCCAAGGAAATTAAAAAAAAAAAAAAAAAATGAAAATGACTGGTAAAAGGTTATCTGAAATCAGTTAATTTTTTGAGCATAGCCATTTGCTGTTCAAAATACGAAGGGTCATTGCTCTGTGGCCAGCTGCTTCAAAAAGAGACATAAATTAACAGTTAAAGGATGCTTTCCAAGATAAAATATAAATTAATACTGTTTAGGAAGAGGAAAATTTTGTATTTTTAAAATGAGAAAGTGGTGCAAAGGAGAATGACAGAGAAAGCACAGATGCAAAAAAAGGTTCGTACAGGAATCAAGCATGATGTTTCATTTTCCAATACCACAAATATATGCTTGCTTCACTGTTAAGCACCGAAAGCTAAACAAATATAGCATTTTGACAGATAATCACTGGCAAATTGGGAAATTTAATAAAAATACAATGTCAAAAGAAAAAAACAATTGATGAATTTTTCAAATGCTGGATGCTTAGCAATGAAGAACTGAGGCTCTTGCACAGTGAATATTTGTTCTACACCGACAGCACCAAAACCAAGGCCCTTTCTACCATTCATAAACATTAAATTTCATCCCAAAATACACCTGCTTAGCATTCAAAGCACCTGCAAAAATTTCAACTCGTTACAAATTTTCTCCACAGTAAACTGTCACATGGAAGAAGATTGAGGTGAGCAAGCTACTAGTAAATTCAACTTTCCAAAATAAATGACTTTACAATTACTAAAACCATTATTTTCCCTGACAAGATTCTGTAAGGAAAACATTGAGGTGATTATTATGCCCACATTATTACTTCTCCTTCCAAGTGATCATCAGGCATTTCAACCAATGGCTTCCCAGGGTTTATTAAAAGTAGTGATTCATGCATAACTGCAAAATTAGTATATTTTACTGAGTCATCTGATTTCTTTTTAAGTATCCCACTGATAGCAGACGATCACAATATCCCACAGAAAATAGATGCTTGGCCACCTTAATCTACCTTTTGTTGACCAATTTGTCATTCAAATTACGAGGAGGTCGTTGCATGACATCCATCTCTGGAGCTTCATAGGCGAGAGAAATCGCTGGTACCTGGCAAACACAAATTCTCTACAAAACCCATCTAATCTTGGAGAAAATCTATTCACTGCTATAGTACTGCCAAGAAATCCACTGGAGAGATCTACTGGGAGAGTAATTAATAAATTATGCTTTATGAAAGTAATGAAACAGCAATTTTAAGATCTCAGCTAATCTTGCAAGTACTGTATGTATCTCCAAAATGTGGAACGAGTTAATAAAATAGATATAATAAATTTGAAGAAAAATCTATTTGTTAGTGCCACTACTTGAAAAAGAACCACAATTGATGCCTTCTTTGCATATAATGCCAGTTTACTTCTGTTTTAGGAGATGAGTTCACAAATAATGTGAAATATTTTAGCAACAATGTTGATGATGATGATCTGAGTATAAGGCATAACTTGATTACTTTGTAAAGGAAGAGCATCAACTGAGTTGACAAAACATGAACTACGAAACCAACATAGCCACACCTGTATGCTGGCAGCCAATGTGCAGCACATTGTTAAACTGGAGCTGCTCGCAATCAGCGCACACAGCCGCCACTTCATACAACTCACACAAAACTACAAGCTAATCTACATAAAAATCTGGAGCTGCAAGCTGCACTCAGTCAAACGTACTACAGGATTAAAAGTCATAAATTTCTCCCTCAATTTAAATGCTACATTAGGGGTAACCACATTAAATCAAGTGTCCATTTGATGGAAACACCACAGAGAAACAGAAGAACAAAAACAAGTCAGATTAAAAGTAGTAGGACTAGGGAGTGAGGATAGTAGCTGTAACTCTCCAAGCTGGAATAAAACATTAGATTTCATAAGATAACAAAACTACCCAATTCATCACAAAGATTAAAAGAAGTCAATACAACATTCTGATGATTTTACAGAAAGAAGAAAACGTGAGAAATAAAAAAATATGCAAAGTTGTAAATAAGACTTAACTCAATGTGATGACTCAGATAGGTAAAATCAAAATGGTAAAAACCTTGCATGGGACAGATAAAGTTAGGGCTTGGATCAAGATGTTTAGATGGCTCTTGGTAGGGAGATGATACTGGATGGGGTGGACTTGTCTAATATTTTTCAGATGGGAAAACCAAGATAATTTGCTAATAACTGGTCCTTGGACAGCTCACAAAATTATTGAGTTCTAAGCATAATGAGGAGCCACTGTCATAAATATTGCTTGTGCTTTCCAAATGGTTAATATAAATAATTCAACTACAGTTGTAACTAGCCCATTGTACATCCCTAAACAGGACATTAGCAGTTAACTAACTCCTGGCATAAATCTGGCAACAAATTGACTTAGGATCCAGTCAATACATAGGTAGGTTACCTTTCATTGACCAAATTATCTAAGTATGGATTTCGTGGCCTTCGCTTCATTATATCAGATTCTGCTTCTTCATAAGCTAGTGATATGGCAGGTACCTGATATTTTGAGTTGGGTACAAAAGAAGAACCACACACAAACATGCTTAATAAAAATGAAGAAGAATAAATTATATCTAGAAAAAATTGTGCAACATCAAGTGCAACACCAAGTGCAGCTCTGAGCAGCTCAAGTACGTAACACAACAAACAACAAAATCTCAGTGCAACCATAACACAAAGTAGCAAATAATCACTGCAGTTTCAGATATTAATCTGTACAAGTACAATGAAAACAGGGCTTGATGCACTGAAATATTGTTGAATGAAATTGAAAAGGAGTATGGTAATTTGGATGCGTTACGAAAATGTGATGGAAAATGGAAGAAAATTGAGAGAAAAATAATAACCAGAATGGGATAAGTTGCCGCAAACAAAGTCATACAAAAAATTCACTTTAAACTCTTAGAGGATGTCAACTTTGGAAATCAACAATGGAGACAGCTGCACAAAATCTTGAATAAAAATTACCTTGAGTTTAACCAAGGTAGAGAAATTCTATGTATCATCTGATGAACTTACCATGTCAGTTCCCAAGTCAATGCAGAGAATGGTGACAGTACCAAGAGGTAGAGGAATGTCCAATAAAATGAAGGCCAGGAAAGGTGAGATTTCAGGAATGTTTGAGGTAAGGGTGTATGCAATGGACTTTTTCAAGTTATCGAAGATGAGACGCCCTTCCTCGACACCAGTGACAATTGATGCAAAATTATCATCTAGCAGAATCATGTCAGCAGCTTGCTTTGATACATCAGAACCAGCAATACCCATGGCAACACCTGCAATAGTATTAGACAATAGTATAAAGCAAATACATTACAATAACACACATAACTTAAAGATTTTTGTTTGATACTAACTACAAAAATTGACAGCAAACCTAAAAGTCGTTTAAGTACAAACAGAAGAAAGAGTGTACCTGTCAGATTAACTGAATAAGGTATGCTATGTACTGGAATTGGTGTAGTAATTGTCATAATATTTTACTGAGACATTGTGCTGGGTAGACAATTCCTTAAGTCAACCAGCAGAAACACTCTTTCTTCAAAGTGTATGATCAACTGTTTAGATTTGCAGTGAAATTGAACAGTGGCATGGGGTGAAATACAAAGTGTTTTACTTAGTACTAACCAATATCAGCTTTCTTCAAAGCTGGAGAATCGTTTACACCATCACCAGTGACAGCAACAATGGCACCCATTCGCTGGCAACCCTCCACAATGATGAGCTTCTGCTGAGGTGAGGTACGAGCAAATACAATCTCAGTGTGATGGCTGGAAAAATATTGCCAATTAGTAGACTTTATTAAACTAGGACTAGAAGTACAAACTGGAATGATATATGAACTTAAACCAACCGAAGAATATCATCAAGATGTGAAGAGTCCAAATCACGGAGTTCAGTTCCATGCACAACAGCAGCCTTGGCCTCTCGAGGGTTTACCTCAGACACTGGGATATTCAGCCTTTGTGCAATGTCTTCAACGGTTTCATTACCTAATTAAAAAAAAAATGATCCAAAATTACAAGCAATTCAAAGGAGACACAATAGGTTCAACTAAAACTAGTTAAAGGAAAGCACTAGACTGCACAAACCCACCTTCAGAAATGATGCCAACAGATTTTGCAATAGCTTTGGCAGTAATAGGGTGATCACCAGTTACCATGATAACTTTGATACCAGCAGAACGGCATTTAGCAACAGCATCAGGGACAGCAGCACGAGGAGGATCAATCATAGACATTAGGCCCACAAACCGCATTCCAGAAATAGGGAAGTTCACTTCATCACAATCAAATTTGAAGCCAATGGGGTATTTGTCAGTGGGAAGCATGAGGTCACAGAACCCAAGGACACGCTCTCCCAAGCCACCAAGTTCCAAGTACGCATTATTGAAGGCTTCTTTCATTTCTTCATCAAGGACCTTCTCTTTTCCGCCAATGAAAATGGTTGAGCATCTGTCCAAGATACGTTCGGGAGCTCCCTTCATCACAGACAAGTGACGAGGATCGTTTGGATCATCAGTTTCGTGAACAGAAACCTGCAAAATGAATTGAAGTGATGAAAATGACCGTAAATCATGGAAAAGTAATAAGGGAAGTTGAAGTAACACAAAATATATATTATGGCGGGTTTACGATGGATTTTCTTATGTTATGTCAGAACTTATGTTATGTTGAAAGAGCTTATGTTATGTCGGTTTTGATGGGGGTGTTTACGGTGGTTACGTTATGTCTGCAAGGAACCTTATGTGAAATGTACCTAAAAGCATAAAACTATATTTTTGGGGGAGTTAAAACCATTGCGAGAAATTTAAAATTAATTTTTGCTGTCAATTCTTTGTATGACAGCTTCAAATTTAAATTGTCCGAATCCATAATTTACTTTGTAGGTTAGGTTTCCACTGCTTCGCGCGCGTTCTCGCGTTTCTCATTGGTTCCCGCGTCACGTGACCCTTATGTTATGTCGAAGTAGAACATAAGTCAACTCGATAGTTGACTTATGTTGCAAGGAGTTATGTCGCAACATAACATAACGATCAACATAGCATCGTAAACGGTCCCATAAGAGACAAGCAAAGTTGACTTTTCGACATAACATAAGGGTACGACATAGCATAAGAAAATCCATCGTAAACCCGCCATTAAATTTTGGGCTCCAAAATTTGTATGAATTTAAAGTAGTATAGTAAACAAACCTGGTATTTGTTGGTGGAATTGAAGGGAACTTCACATACTTTCTTGTTATTCTTGCGGAGTTTCATAACATCACCCAAAGCCAACTCCATGCACTTCAAAAGGGCAGCCTCAGAAGCATCACCAGCCACCTCCCTGTAACATGAGAACTATTAGTTGCCTGAAAAAGCACATCAAAGTGAGAGAGGAATGAACTGGAACATACTTCTTAAGAATTGGGACATTTTCTTGACCACCTTTGAACTCTGCTCGGTTGCAAAGGGCAGCAATCCTTGACAGAGCTTTGAATCCTGGGCTGGTGCGGTCATATTGCACTCCTGTTAAGTAGAAAGATTTGATGGGTCCCATTTCATTAACAAAACCTTTTCATTAGATAAAAATGTCAGGAACCTGCAGTACTAACCTGATTGATCCTCAGTAGTGTCTGCCTCAATAATTTGGTTATCAAACCACATGTGAGCAACAGTCATCCGGTTTTGGGTAAGGGTGCCAGTTTTGTCTGAGCAAATGGTAGATGTGGAACCCAATGTTTCTACAGCCTCCAAATTCTTAACCAAGCAATTTTTAGATGCCATTCTTTTGGCCGTGAGGGTCAAACAGACAGTTACAGTTGCAAGCAAACCTTCTGGTACATTGGCAACAATAATACCTGAGATTTTAATTTTAAAAAGATAATTAGATTTAACAATGCCTCATTGTTTCCTACCTAAAATATGTGCAGCAGAATGGATGTTAAAGGAGGTATTAATTATAGCTTACCAATGAGGAAAATAACAGCATCAAGCCAGTGGTATCCCAGGATAAAAGCAATGACAAAGAAGGAAACACCAAGGAACACAGCCACGCCAGTAATGAGGTGGATGAAATGGTGAATTTCCTTGGCAATAGGTGTTTCGCCTGTATCTAGACCTGATGCTAGACCAGCAATTCTGCCCATGACTGTATGGTCACCACAGCTGATAACAATACCCTTAGCAGTACCTGCACAAAAAATGAATTAAGATTGATTTCAGTTAACTTACACTGGAAACAAATACAATAAATTCATATAATTTTTATTTCTTACTCGTTCTTTACCACCCACCCTCTCACCAAGTCGGTGGTGGAAGAACGAGTATTGTTCTTGGTGCAAGGTAATGCTTAACATGATTCCACTTTCATCTCACAATACCAACAGATGTCGAAATTGTACCATTTTCGTTTGGTATTACTGGTCTTGATTGCAACAATGAACTTTTTTATTATTTTGAGAACTCTTAACAAATTTTTCTGATTTTTGTGCCAAGTCCCCAACCAAGTTTATTAGTGGACATTTTAATCTCAGAAGACACAACAGCTAGTAACATAAAAGTAATACTATTCAAAATTAGGAACCTTACTGTCACCTTTAATAAAAATTAAATTTATTTTGAGAACTCTAAAGAAAAAATTTGAGGGTTCTCAGTATAAGTCCCCCGACCACCGAGTCGGCAGCCTCGGGCTGTATTTGGGTCCTGCCTCGGGTCCCATTGTTGGGGCTGCCGGGGTTGCCCTGGCTGCCCCCTTTTCCAGAAGTGTTATTGGTTGTAGTTGCCTCTCTTTTCATTACTTCAAAATCACTTCCAACGAAACCAGCAAATTCATTTTAACAGTTCTCATTAACACACAACTGGCAAGACCAATATCAAAACTACCAATTTCCATGATATTTGTACATGCATATCTGCACAGTAATAAAATTGGAAAATGTAAAGCACCAAGAACAATACTTGCAAAACACCGTAGAGAACGAGTGTTACATTTGACACTACATTAATTTTGAGTCTACTTCACCCTTGTTAAATGTTTTTACTGACCTTCCACAGCATTGGTCGAGAAGAAAGCCAAATTCTTGGTTTCCAAAGGATTTTCATGGGTAAATTCAACGCTACGGCTCTGAGGCTCAGACTCTCCAGTCAATGAAGAGTTGTCTACTTTAAAGCCACGAGACTCAACAATACGGATGTCAGCAGGAATTCTGTCTCCAAACTTAACTTCCACAACATCACCAAGTACCAGATCCTCAGCACGTACTGTTACTTTTTCACCTTCTCTTACAACTGTTGCAAACTGTAAGATTTAATCAGGTATTAGCCAGAGAATAGATAGATAATAAAATGTAAGATATAACAATGGGTTGAATATAATTAGCATTTCTTAGAATCCAATTTAAATTAGTGGCATGCAAAAGAATTTTAAGGCAAAAATTTTCATGCAATAATGGAATATTAAAATACTACACAAGCCATTAAACTGATGATAAATACACATGCAACCGAAGTAATTACAAGAGAATTTGGGAAGAAGGGAAGAATTGAAGGTCATGGCCTGTTCTCACTTAATACAGCTGAGTGGGCTGAGCATGTTCATAGAGAGGATGTCACGCAGGGCACACATGGTATGCCTCTGTTAAATGAAACCGGTCTTAATTTGTCTTTCCTTTGACTATCAAATTTTGTTACTTCATATAGCAGGTGCATATATAAGTACTCCATAAGGGCTTGCCATACTACTTACTTGCGGAACTAGAGATTTAAAGGAGTCCATAATACTGCCACTCTTAGCCTCTTGCCAGTAAGAAAAGGTTCCTGTGACCATGACCACAACTGACAGCACAATACCCAAGAACAACTGTAAAAGCATTGAAGAGCATGCAGAACATAAGTAAATGCAGGGGAATTGCAGTGGTCCAAATTACAAAAGCATACAAATTCAGCCGAAGTCGGGAGCACGGAAGAAGATCAGAAGACAGGTGGTCCAGTGCTTTTTGGAGGAAAAAAAAATAAAACCTACGTGCAAAGCTAAGCAGATTAAGAAGAGGTCACATTGAATTTAAATTGTGCAATACAAGGCACCAAAGTAAACCTAATGATACAAAATGTACAAAACAAAATACAGAAGCCATCAAATCATAGCTTCATCATGCTTCCATGCAGTCATTTTGCGGTGTGGTCCTTCTTACCTGAGGGACCATGCTCTTAAATGATTCCATAATTGCTGATGACTTAGCCTCCTGATAGTATGAAAAGCAGCCAGTAACAATCACGACTGCCGATAGTACCACTCCCAGGTAAAGCTGTTTAAAAATGTGATTTATCATATCAATTACAGAACACTACAAACCACAAACACTTCTGGCAGAGAAAACACATATTATAAGCCTAGAGTTTGTTTCTTCTTTGAGCCAACACGACCCTTCAGCTCACAAATTTCAACCACTAAGAACATTCTGCAGGCTGTCACATACTTCAAATTCAGAAAGGGTTAGCCCGACTGCTTGTTCATAGAGAACTGGTGCATACGGTAGGCGTACGGACAGGCCCGTCACTCGAGTCGGGTTACCAGGTCACCTCAATCGGCCCATTCCCTGTGTCCAACTAGTGCTGGTTCGTCTGCCCAACGTTTGGCCCCCATACTATAAATTCCTTGGTCATACCATACTAAACCGCATTCAGGCGCGTGGGGGGTTTGCATTCTCGCTCGTCGTCCAAAAGGCAAGCCCACCCGCACGCCTGCAAGCGGTCAACTAGTACGGGGCCTATGAAACACCCTGCATATTAACGAGTGACCAACAGTACAACGATTACACAGAAACTTACATTATCGTCAGCAGGCTCTTCAACCGTACTGGCTTGGATGGAGTATGCAATAAAGCACAGGATGGCACCAATCCACAAGAGAAGGGCAAAGCCTCCAAAGAGTTGCTTGCAGAATTTGACCCATTCTGGGGTGGTTTTAGGGGGCGTAAGGGCATTGGGGCCATCTCGCTCCAAATTTTCTTTTGCTTTCGCATGTGATAGACCCTGGGAGAAAACGTCAAAGATGAGTTATTAGTAACATAGCATTCCTAACAAATAATTGTGACTTTGGAGCAATTAATTATAACAACGAAGACATTCCATACAATTGCAGTTATTACAATCACGGTAAAAACAGTGTTTCATTTATTGAGGGAAAAGGGAAAACTTTGAGGAACTCCCCTGGTTTGACGAAAACTCCTCAGATTTTGAGGTGTCCTCAAAAGATGTGGGATTTTCCCTAATTTTTTGAGAAGATTCCTCAAAGTCTGAGGCGAGATCGGAGGACTCTTCTTCAAACATAGGAGTTCCTCAAAGTTTTCCCCTTTTCATTAAAAAATGAGACATTGTTCTGACCGTGATACCAGGTAGCACATTAACCCCACGCCGTGTATTATAAGTTATACTGTACCGCATGCAGACGTGTGGGCGGGTTGCCTATTGCTCCCGACCACAGCGCCGTAATCGCATCATGCATGCGGTACAGGGTACAGTACAGTAACTACAGGGTGGGTGTTATATGCCGGACTTTTTAGACAGACCCCAAGACTGTCTCTGCCAGAGGGAGAAAACGTCCCCCCTAACTCGCTTTTTTTTCTGGTTATATTGTTCGGCATACAGGTGGGCGGGCGGGCTTGACTGGCGACTCTTCACTGGAAACGCAAGTGTGTGAATGTCGCACACTTGCAGGTGTGTAAATATACATTCGTACACTTACGGGGGTAAACGTGTGAATTTTGTAGGAAAAATTCACACGTTTACCCCCTGAAGGGTACGAATGGATACTCACACACCTAGAAGTGTGCGACATTCACACACTTGCGTTTCCAGTGTTCCAACGGCACCATGTGGCCCCGTGCGAGTATGTAACCCATCCGCACACCTGCATGCGGTTCAGTATAACACAAATAATAAAAAGTCCGGCAACGTACACCCATCCTGTATGAAAGTGCGCGGGGTTGATCAGCCACCTGGGATTCATTTGGCCGTAACTCATCCCCCTCAAGGCAAACTGCCTCATCTGTGTGACGCATTAGAGGTAGGAAAGTACTTACTCTCTCTGGGTTAGTTTGGAATCGTTGGTAGAGTTCGTCTGGGGTTATTTTATGGAAGTCAATATCCAATTCTTGTTTAAGGTCATCTAGATCGTCTCCCTTTCTTTTCGCCTTCGGATTTTTCCGCCGCGACTGCAAAGTAAAAAACAAGTCTAAGTTAGATCACTAGAAAAATATCTTGCATAACAACAGCCTTGCCTTAAAAAAATGAGAGCCTCTTTTCTCCATTGTGTACCGAGTGTTTCAGAGCGGACACTACAGCGATGCGGGATTGCATACTCACTAGAGCCGCAGGGGCTCTAACGCCTTACGGAACCCGCAAGCCTGCTGCATCCGCTCTTAAACATCCGTTACGTAAATCCAATACATGCTTTATTGGACGCAACACCATTCAAA